TCAATACGTAATGATGGAAATATCTGTGATATATACCAATCTAGCCAACAAAGGCAAGCAGCCACACTCATGTCCCTCAGCTCGTACTGGACAGAGTCTTTCACAAGCATCCCTGAAAGCCTTCTTCCAAAGCCCCAATGAAAAGCTACTTTGCTCTTGATCAACTGAACTAGATGTCCTTTTATAGTTTTTACTCGACCCAGAATCAGCACCTTCACTAATTGCCTTTGCAACGACAGACTGCATATGTGGAGTCAAAGTCTGAAAATATAAAATTGAAAGATTCAGATGCACGACCTCATGAAATTCATTCGACAAGATAGTTAGATTTGAAGAAAATTCAATGCAGAAAAACAGAGGAAAAGAGTACTCAATGACCTGCCACCAGATAGATTCAACTATCCGGGAAAAGATCCACGATTCAATCTTCTCCAGTGTAGACATGAATGTTTGTGGGTTCTCGCAGTCACCAAAACTTCCATTCAAGAGCCTCCATCCTTCTTTCTTCCCAGAAGATGGAGCCTTCCATTTAATTGGAGAAGATACATTATTCTTTATTTTTCCAGCACCATTCCTGTCAATAGAATGCCCTGCCGACATAGGTGATTCTTTGTCACCGGTAACCTGGCTTATTATTGTTCTCAACACGATAGAATTTGACAGCCAGTATGTTAGCCTGTAATCGGAGAAAAGGAAAAAGAATGAGTCCATAAAACGAACACGAAAACTTCATTCATGCAATTCATATATGCAGTTCTTCTTTGGATCCTCATGCAGTAAGTACCCTGATTTTCACATCAATTAAACAATATAATTATTATCCACCACAAGAGTTCCACCAATTTGTTAAAAATTCACACTTAACAGTAGAAATCTAAAAAGCTCGAGAAACTTTTCTTTCAAAAAGGATCAATCTCAAAGGCAACATGATTGTAAATAAGACAAAGAAAACACAGAAAATAAGCAATGTACCTTGGGACATCATTCCCACATGCTTTTGCAACCAAAACTAGTCCTGAGACAATACTTTTAGCTGCACTGGCCTTCCTAGAATGGGGACTTTCTTTGCAAGCATGAAGATACAGTCTAGAAAGGCGCCGGGCTGGAGCATGGACCTTACTCATGGAACTTCCATGCTCAGCAACTACTGAATAAAGAGCAGCCTCAACAGCCGCAGCTTCTCTCAATTCTCCCTCAAGCAACTTAATTTTGTGTTCCATCTGATGGATTTTGCTTTCTAAGATCACACTCCTTGTATCCCTAGGATACACTCTAGCATCTTTTCTTACAATACCTGCACTGTTCTGTGCATCACCCTGAACACCAGTTAATGCATTCTTAGCCGAGTCAATCAGTGACCTAACAGATTTAACATGCTTCGTATTTTCCTTCATTCCGATAGGAACTTGCTTTCCATTAGCCTCATGCGCAATGGATGATTCACCTTCCCTAGAATGCTTTTCCTCATCAAAACTTTGTCTTTCATGTCTGTTTTCTTCTTGTTGTTTTCCTTCACTGTCCTCGGTAGAACTGTCATAGCTGTCATCGCTAACCGCAGCCTCCAGGCAACCCCTGCCAAGAACAGCCTTGTCATTAACCTCGTGAGCTAAGTGTTTATGGCCATTGCTTCTCATGCTGGAGTTGGAATCTTCGGCCTTTCCATTAAAAGATGCTGATGGAGAAGGCACAGTCTCCGCACCAACAGCTTTTAGGATCCTTGAATTTGAGTTGGGAGAGTTGGCTACTGAAGCATTATCAATTACTGGGCTTCCAGGGTCAGAAGATAGGTCGATTGATGATGAGCATGATGAACTTCCCTTCATATATTCATGTAGTGCATTCTGAGCCATTAAATTTGATTTTTCAAGCTCTAGTTTTGAGGGTAAGGTCCGTTTCTCATTATCACCTTCAGTGCTATGAGGCCCCGTCTCTTGTCCCGTCTGCAATCCAAATGCCAAAATGTTATATGACGTATTACTATATAATCATTTTAGCAGTCAAAGTGACAAGTTTCCATCCAAAACAGGAAAAATGAAAACTAAGTTGGAATCATTACCTCTTGTTTTCGAGGAGACATAGTGTGATTTGTTTCTAAAGCGGACGAAATTGTTTGAGATGAGTGCGAGGAAACATCATCATCAGTGAAAGAGGCAACTTCCGCTTCCTCAGCATATTCCTCATTCATCAAGGCCGAAACAGATTCACTACCAGCATTGTCCAGTGATACCCCTCTCGACAAGCTACCCCTAGATGAGGAGCTAGTGCGGCCCTTCACAACAGGCTGAATCTTGATATACAAAACTGGTTGATCAGTGTTCCTAAAGCTTCTCATACTGTTCATTGGAGCGGAAACACTTACGGTCTCTTTGACGATACCATGATCAGCTAAATCTACAATGGCAGTGGCCAACAACTGCCCTTTAGGGTTGTCCCTCCGAGGCTCATACAAATGCAACTCTAACAAATTCTTTTGAAATGTAACACCACCACCACCACCTTTAACTGACATATCTCTTAGCAGAGTCACCGGTAACCTGAAAGACTGATTGAATTCAATTTTTCCCTCACCAACAATGGACCCAGTTGAGGGGACAACAGGGCTGGTGGCCCCCGAATTGCGGTCATCATTTTCCCACTGAATCAACACAGAACGGAGTGATCTGAGCGACTGTGATGGCGGCCAAGGCTTAATGTCCTGAATATGGATGAGATAATCGATTCGAACCGTGCTGCCGCGGTGGTTCTTGGCCTTCACTCCTAGACCCATGGTTGCAGAAACACACAGCAGACTTCTTCTCCAACGCGTTCAAGCATTCACATCCACAAAGCTTTACACTCCAAAACACTTGAGACACAAACAAAACCAGAAAATCATGTCAATCAGCAGTAAAAGGTATTCAGGATTCGAAAATATCGCATTGATCACAAGAAAAGGAAATGCTTGATATTTTCTTGAGAGTTTTAACGAAACACTCTGCATAATTTTAACGAAAAATCATATTTTTATTTTTGCTGGTATTATTCCCTTACACTTTTATTTGTCTTTTTTAATTAAAACTAAAGTTTTTAAACAGTTTTCGTTAGTTTTCTTATTTTCTTTAACAAGGACCAGTCGGTGGCTTGGCAGTCCACCCATCAAACGCCGCCACCGACACTCAAAAGATAAAAATTAGTAAATTTTAAAGAAAAAAGGGACTGAAACTAGCTTAAAAAAAGCTCAAAAATCACAACCTGAGCTCATCAACACAGGAAAGCATAAATAATAATATTTCTTCAAATATAATTCACAAAAGTAGCAATGCTGAGTTATCAACTACTAAAATATTTCCTAAAAGTTGCTCCAAAAGCATCCGATCCACATATTTCAAACTCAAGCTAGCTCAAAGCAAACAGATTTATCACAATGCATGCAATCAAATTAAACAAAAAGCAACAAAAACTGCAGATTACAAGAAGAAAAAGAAAAGATTAGTGAAAAAATTAGCTGAATAAATAAGAAAAATATACATAATTTACCTCTAAAATGGCCAAAAATCGGAGAAATGCGAGGGAGCGAGACGAGAGGAGCGAATTTATTTCATTGGACGGTGAGAGAGAGGCGGTGTGTAATTAATTAGAAATTTAAAATAGTGAGAGAGAGTGTTGAAAAAAGTGAAGCTGACAGTAGCGACTCGGGAATTTCCAGAAAAATAAAATATAATCACTAGTTGTATAAGCGCGAGGAAATTTATCTGTCCGAAAGGGGTGCTGAAACGACGTCGTCCCGGCGGGAATTTGGTTCGGTGTTTGGTGGTCGTTGTCGTTTTGACGTTGGTGTGATTACGACGCCGCGGCTGAAATGCTCCTCTCAACTAATAAATTGCAGTTTACAACTCGTCGTTGAAACTCGGAGCGCGTGTGTAACCGTCGCAATGAATGATGGTTGGACTCGGCGGACTGACTCGGTTGAATTCGAGTGTGAAGTGCACGCGAGAGCTTTTCGGCGTGGTGATGCGCTCGCTTTTGTTGGATGGTTGGATAATACTCGCCGACACAATGCTGTTGATTATTATTTTTTATTTTTTGGGTCAAACACAATGCTGATGTTAGGGGGGGATTTGAATCCAGATAAAGATCTTAAAGATTCTTACATCTTAACTATTTATCTTGTATTGTATGATCAGAAATTATTTGATTTTTTTATTTAAAATTAAACACAAATAGCATCTGACGAAAACTGACCGCACGATGTACGATGAATAGCTAGAATATAGAGATCCCTAAAATCCTCACAAAGTGTATTCGGAGAGGATCTTCTTCTGTTAAAGGGCGTTGTAAAAAAAAAAAAAAATGTCAAATGCAAATTCGAAAGCTTACTGCTTATTTGGCAATGTCTTTTTTTTTTTTTTTTTTTGCTGTAAACATATGTATTTTATTTTAGCAGCCGAATCAAATGAATGAAAGAAAATTAATAGTAAAAAATTAACAAGAATGTGTGGATAGCATTATCGCGTTAATAGCTTGCATTTTGAGATTGATTTGGATGCGTACCATCGCATTCATCGTTACAAGTTGAAAGGAAACTTAGAAGACAAAGAATTAATATCATAACGGTAGTGTCATAGAATTGGAGCTGGAATTGGACCCTTCACCTGTCAATCTGTCCAAACTGCCTCCCTGGCCGTGGAATCAAGTATCTATGAGCTTAAAATCTAAGCATGCTCTGCTACAAGGCATGTATAAGCTTCTAGTGGAGGAGGTAAGTTAGTAGTAGGTTAAAATGTCCACTTTCACCAAACAACATTGTCCACTTCAAGGTTAAGATATTGGGGTTTGGTCTTTAGGTTGTTAACAAAATGCATTCAAAATTTATAATTGAGGTTGGGGAACACAACCAACCTTTGGTTAGATTCTCATACTTTATAAAGATTTGTTTTCGGGTCCGATTATGATTTGCCTCATATGCAACTCTCGTTTTTTTTTTTAACTTTTGAATTAAATAAAATCCGAAGAGAATCGACTAACAAAAATAAATAATGCCTTTAGAATCCGCAGCATTCACTAGACAAACATAGACAAAAGTATGCATGAAAATTAAATTCGAATTTTTATCTTCTTTTATTTCTCTTATTATTTAAGAATCCCACGTTACCTCTTCACACAATTCTGCAGATTACTTTTGAAGGAAGAAAGAGAGGAAGGCACGTGAGCAGTCTGGAGAAATTGTTCCTCTCTGTCCTTGTAACGTGAGAGCCACCGTTGTTTTTTTTTTCTTTAATTCCCCACCCTGATTAATTTGGTTACACCGCTACATGTTAATGTGATCTCACTTCTCAGCTGTCAAGCTGTCACATAGGCTGTAAGCTTACAACTGACCAGGAGGAGTGTTAGGACGTAGAATCGGATTTCTGATCAGTATCGGCAGTGGCTTGTACTTGAGCTGCATACTGCAAGTTCCAAAGAACATCCTCGAAAGAGGGCCGAGGAGCTGAAACTTCCGAACATATGCATTTTTTTGTTAAGGATACCACAATCGACAGAGATTCTTGCGAGCAAGTCGTCAACACAATTGGATCCACAATTCTTCTGCGACCATCTTGGCTGCCAAACGATTCCTGCATTTGTGGTTCATCACAACGCACATAAAAAATGCAGTTCCGCATGAAACACTTCGAAATGTTATTCCACAAAACCGAAACTCTACTTTGGCGTACCATTTCGTTTAGCAGAAATGTATCCCCTTTTCCGCTTACGATAGGGCCAACTAGTGATTCGAGCAGTATAAATCCGAAGTTGTAAACATCACCCTCCATGTCTGTTTCGTTCCTACAAAAAAGAACAACAAAACTATTTATACTCAAACTTTTGAATTGTTAAAACAGCAGTAATCTGCTGTAGAGCTATTTTCTGGACAATAGGTTACATTCTTACCAAGATTTTGTTTTCGGGCCTTCTTCCTTTGCCTGCAGAACAAACAGAACGGCATCAGAATAACCCCTTTTAACCGTACTTAAGATTGCAAAGTCGAAAAGTAAAATGAGTGAAGAAACATGCCTCTAGTTTTTCACTTTCATCTGTGGTGATGGACATTCCATAGTCACTCAACTTTGCAATCCGATGCTCATCAAGCAACACATTGTTTGTTTTCAGTCGGTTGTTGAAGCAACCTGGAATAGCCCCGGTGTGAAGAAAGTGCACAGCCTTCGCAACTCCTATTAGAATTGCCAATCTATCAGACCACTTGAGAACCTTGTCCGGATAGTTTTCTACACGTATGCGCACAGCTCGGTTAGAATTTGAGAGAGTTCAATATGAAAACCTACGGTAAACTTTAAAAATACGCTGTCACACACATGCAAATACTGACCTGACAGATGGGTTCGGTAGTTCCCACCAGAGACAAATTCATTTATAAGGAAGATTCTGTTGCCACTGGAATCCTCGTGTCCACCACTGACAATGCAATAACCCAAGAGGCCAGCCAAGTGAGGATGATGAAGCTTGGAGAGCAAATCCAGTCGAACTTTAAGGTTTTGAATTGAATATTTCTTCAACATAGTGAGCAAGCGGATTGCAACATAGGTCCCATTTTCCAACCTTCCTTTGTAAAGCTGAAAGCAAAAGAACGAAAATAGCAGGTCAAAATCAAGAATCAGGAGAGCTTAAGTGATCACTAAATAATTCCAAGCACATTAAACTCCTAGCTAGCATTTTTAAATCAGAAGTGTACCTTTCCCATAGAGCCTTCACCCAAAAACATAGATGAATCAAAGTTGTCTGTTGCTTCCTTCAACTGTTCAAGTGAAAATATACGACTCTCTGGGGCACCGTGTGTGTCTAACCTCGCTGCTTGAGATACGAATCCTACAAAGGGTATAATACAAATGTTACCTTGTTAAGCTTTCGTAGCTACTCAAACATTTCTGTATTCACAGATTTCAGAGCATAAAGTTGATATTACGCATTATGAAATATCATGCCTTGGGTTTGGGGCAACAATAATAACAAAATAACCTGATTAATTACAACTTACTTGCATTTGCGACAATGTTCAGAGCAATAACCATTTGGTGAATGATCTGGCATGGGCTCTGCAAATATGTAGTGCGCAACTGTCCTTCTAGAACTGTATCTTCTACAAAAGGAAAGAACCCCAAATGCCAAAAGTAGTAAAACAAGAACAGCTCCGGTGACAACAGCAACTAGCACGACAGTTTCTCTTCCTCTAGAGTGTTTGTTCCTTGCAAGAACCTCTCTGCAATATGAAACCTGATGCTGGTGTTGAGAATCAACTGACAGACAATTTCCGTTCACTTGAACAACTCTTTCATCTGAAGTACTTCCTAGGCAAGACGGAAGATTACCTATTAACTTGTTATTAGAAATATCAATAAACCCAAGTTTTCCACCACACTTTAGCTTGTCCGGAAATGCTCCACTCAGCATATTGGATGCTAAATTCAGATAACTGATGTTTGGCAAAGAGAACAAAGCAGAGGGCGGTGCTCCGCTAAGATAATTGAATGAGAGATCAAGGTGCTGAAGCTGACCCAAAACACCAAATTGTGCAGGAATCTCTCCAGAGAATGAGTTCTTGCTAAGAAGAGCTGTAACCAACCCTTTCGGCATCCTTGGTAGCTCGGAATGTAAATGATTTTCTCTCAAGTCCAAGACATGCAGGCCTCTTAAAGTAGCCATATCAGGTAACTTTCCAGAAAGTTCATTGTGAGACAAAGCAATGACAGTGAGTGTCTTGATTCTGCATATCGCAGAAGGAAACTCGCCCTTCAACCGATTGTTCTTTAAGCTCAAAACTGTGAGATTCGACAACGAGTCCAACCAATCAGGCACAGTTTCGTTGAAATAATTGCCCTCCAGAGTTAGAGTTTGAAGTTTCACCATTCTAGATATTTTCGCCGGAACAGAACCAAACATGAAATTCGAGCTCAAGTCTAAGACTTCAAGCGAAGATAACCGATGAATCTTATCAGGAAGCGGTCCCCAAATCCCCAGAAACACTAAGCTAAGAACTTTCAAGCTAGGAAACCTCGACAAACTGGTGAAAAAAGAATCAATCTTAAAATTCTCAGACAATGTCTTGTTGGGAATTGCAAATCCATTGAAATCATTCACATTAACAAGCTTATAATCTCCCATAATTTTGAGCTCAGTGACTGAATTGCCCTGGCATGAAATGCTCACATGAACAGTGGAAGACAGGTTGCAGAGGTCTCCACTGTAATTTGCCCAAATTTCTAATGAGGGAGGGTACTCTAAATGCTTTCTCAGCTGAAACAACACTTGCCTTTGAGAAGTTTGCAATTCATGGGTTCTTGGAAGGAACAAAACCCATGCCACAATTACTGTAACCAAGAAGCAAAAATATCTCATTGCAGTAAAAATTCTTACAGCTCAACTAAAACTTCTAAGCTTTCTGATACTCTCACAGTTTAATGAAAGTTCCTCAGTGCCCAAAATCCTGTGATTCCTCCATGAAAGTTTTACTCTGCAAGTTTCCTTTTTTCCGGGATAATGTTGGACGCTTGAACAAGCTGGTTAAAAAGTTAAAAACCCATGTAAAAAACAAGGGTTAATCATTCAAAGGAAGCACCTTTAAGAAATTTTCTGGAAAAAACAGAGGAAAAAATCACAACCCAGAAGAAAAAAAGGAGAGAGAAATAAAATGCAGATAGGGTAGGAGGAAGAGGAGACAAACCTTGAGAGTTGAAAGAACCAAAAACACCATTAGAGAGCAGCTCCCACAGTGATGTTCTTGGTCAGTGAAAGAATGTGTGTGTAGGATATAATGGGTGGTTGGTTGGAAAAGGCCGTACAGGACAGCGTCGAGGCATTTACTTCTGGTTTTCTGTGGAGGTGGAAACTGACATCGACATCAATGGGGCCGATTTTTCACTGAGAGAGACAGATACAAGTAGAAATGCAAAAGGATTGGAAGGTGAAAGAAACGGTGGAAAATATGACACCAAATCTGTAAATTAAAAGAAAATCTTGGGTTCTTTAATTGTTGGTGTTCTGGGTTTTGTTGTTCGTTGATTCTCGTGAACTGCATCACATTCCGCTGGTAACTGCAGTAACGGCATCACGTGGTTTTTCCCTCTCTTGGTGGTGCCATTTGATAGGTGTATGATATGACCAAACTGGCCCTGCTTCTGTAATCTTAACTGTTACTATGACTTAATATCAAATCAGCGTAAATTCTTCTGTTTTTTGGTATACGGTATTATCGGTGTGAATGAAATATTAAATGTGCGGCTAAGCATCCATCTTAATGTATACCATTAAGCTAATCAAACAATGCTAATGTGTGATGGTATTATTAAACTAATCATGTAAGATTATATAAATGAGCTTCAACAGGCATTTAGTAAGAACAGTAACATTAAGTACGTGGAAAGGAAAATCACATGTTCTGAAAGGAAAATGTTATTCACACACTTATTTTTATCTGACATGCACTTTTGTAAATTTTGGATATTAATTTTCTTCAATTCATTTAATCCAACGGTTAAAAATTGAGATGAATGTATGAAAAGTGAAAACGGATGTGTTGATAGCACTAGTCTTCTGAAATAGAGAGTTGAGGTGGAATATTTATTGTAAAAAAGGAAGGAGGGCTTTTCTGGTCCCCTTGGAGCAGGTTGCACAGCCACAGCACGTTTCTGCCGAGCTGTACACTTCTGGAATCCCATGAAACTCTGATTACAATAAAGATTAAGGCATGATTAGTATAAAAGAGGAAAGACTTGAATAAAGTTAAATTTTACCCCATCAAGAAGCCAATATGCCTCCAGGCCTCCCTCTTCTTGTGCTGCCACCGCATTGTGTGGTGTGTGGTTGTGGAGAGAAACTTATTTACTAGGATGTTTTAAGTTAATAACGAAGAGTTGTATGTAATTGATTGAGATGTCGTCACAGAGATGAGTTTAGATATACTTTTTTTGGTGGTAGGTTTCATTTCCCACACACTCGTTAATATGCCTCTCTCCACTTTTATTAAAGAAGAGAAACTTACTAGATGTTAATGTTATTTAAATAAATTACACAATATTATGTGTTAACTTGAGATACGATTACAATGGAAGTAGGTTTTTTGACTTTGGAGATCTCACTCAAGCGCCTAGAAAGCCGCATAGAAGTTGGAGGATTGTTAATTATTGCATGCTGTCGTTGCCCGGACAAGGAGGCAGAGGAAAGCAAAGGCATGCTAGTAGGGTTTTGGCTTTGCCTTTGGAATTTGAATTTGGCATCTCACTCAGTCAACCCCAATTGCATTCTGCATAAGAACTTCTTAGCAGTGGGGCATCTTCGTCTTCTTCGACAGCTTGTGCGAAGATTTGGAATGACAATGTCCCTCCAAAGGTAAAAGTGTGTGGATGGCACCTTTGTAGGGGATTTGTTCCAACCCGCTCTAACCTTGCTCATCGCCATTTAACTTTGAACTCCTCTTGTGTTCTTTGTAATGGCCCCAAGGAATCGATCATCCATATTGTGCGATTTTGCCCCCTTGTTAAATGCGCCTGGTTGTCTTCCCCTCTTGGCATGCCGATTCGTGTTCTCCATCCCCCTACCCTCTTGGAATGGCTGGATCCAATCGTAACGTTTCCTCCCTCAAACAAGTTGGATTCAGTGCTTATGATCTTATGGAGTCTTTGGGGAGCTAGTAGTAAAAAATTGTGGTCTGGTACTTGCGAGAACCCTTACGTGATTGTTGGGCGCTGCTTAACTTGGTGGCAGGACTTCACCCAAACTAGGTTGGCACAGTACGTCCCTAATACCTCACCAAATATATGCCCCAAATGGCCCCTCCCTCCTCCCGGCTTCATCAAACTTAATATTGATGGAGCCTGGAACGTGGATTCAAAGCTTGGTGGGTTTAGGCTGATTATTCGAGATGATTTTGGTTCTTTTGTGACAGCCATGGCTGGTCATTTTATGGATACTTTCTCTCCCCAGCAAGCCAAGGCTTTGGCATGCCGTTCAGAAGTCATGTGGGTGATATCGAGGGTTTTCATCATATCATTTTTGAATCTGATTCACTTCAGATTGTGGAAGTGCTTAAGGACTCCTCAATCAATCCTTCCTCTCTCGGTCAAATAATTGAGGATATCAATGTTTTGCTTTTTACAGTCACTGAAGTTTCCTATATCCATGTTCACAGACAAGCTAACAGACTTGCTCATAGACTTGCTCGTTTTGGTCTTACGCTTATTCATGATTGTGCTTGGGAAGTTGGGATGATCCCCCCCCCCCCCCCCGGGGAGTTTAATCATGGACGCCCTCATTGAGGATGTCCCTGGCCATGATTTAGCCTTGTAATGGTTTTGGCTATGAATATATCATTTATCGTTTCATTAAAAAAAAAAAAAAACTTTTGCTTTTTGAACTTTATATATCATTTGTTTGGGACCCAAAAAAAAAGCACCTTGGAGAGTCCACATGCACAAGTTTATGTTAATTTGTATATTTTGGAACAATGCCAACTTTTGAACATTTGACCAGTTTTATTTAATGGACGATTCCTTCAGACGTGTTGTTTATATGTACGGGTGGAAAATGTTCACTTCTTTCACGAGGATGCAAGAATTATTCAAAACAAAAAGAATCATGAAGAATTTAAGCGAGCAGTTTCTGAGTTTGAAGATAAATTCGTGAACAAATAAAATGATAAATTTCTATAAAGAAGGTAGATGATGATTAATCAGGATAATGAATAAGTTTCGTAGAATATAATACAAAATATAGAGGTCTCTAGAATGTATATGAAGTAAGCCGGTTAGTCAAGAAAATGCACTTTACAACCGAGTTTGAATTTCTTTTTCGTAAATCAAATTAATTTAAAATATTATTTTGTTAACAAATAAATGTAGAATTCTTGGACATTTTTGGCGTGATAATCATATTAATGTGGCTTTTGAGAAATGATTTGTCAATTTGTCACTACCTTCTTATACAACTAATCATATGCATATTCTTAGAGGAAGTGAAAACATTGAACCGGACTGGGCCGGCTAATGGGATAAAGGGCTGTCTACCACCTTCACTTTTCCAACAAACAGCCCCCGTCGGCCACCATGATTCGCCATCTCCAACCTCAAACCTTCCTACCCCAAGCTTCCCTCTTTCCATCTCTAAAACCCTTCAAAAACCCTTACCCTATCCCCAAATCAGTCTCCAACTCCCTCAGGCCAACCCTCAGTTCTCCAAATTACCCCTCACCTTCCGACCACCCAAACACCTCCGCCGACCCCGGCCTCCTCTTCCGCGAAAAGGTCCTCTACTTAGAAACCCACCTCAACGTCGACTCCGAAAAAGCCCTCCACCAAAACCCAGATTTCGGCTCCTGGCCTCTCTCCTCCCTCAAGTCCGTCGAGGGCTGCCTCTCCTCCATGGGCATCGAGCGCTCTGCCCAGGGCCGGATCCTCGACATGTACCCGCAGCTCCTCACTGTGGACCCGCACTCCGCCCTCTACCCAATCTTCGATTTCCTTCTCACCGAGGTCCGAATCCCTTTCCCGGATATCCGGAAGTCGATAATCAGGTGCCCGAGGCTTCTAGTCTCCGACTTGGACAGCCAATTGCGACCCGCATTGAAGTTTCTGACCGAATTGGGGTTTTCGGGTCGGAGCTCCATCACGTGCCAGACGACAGTGCTGCTGGTTTCGAGCGTGGAATTTACCCTTTTGCCCAAAATCGAGTATTTACAGAACTTGGGGCTGAGCTACGAGGAGGTGGTGAACATGGTGATAAGGTCGCCGGGGCTGTTGACTTTCAGCATAAACAACAATTACAAGCCCAAAGTTGACTTTTTTCTGGAGGAGATGAAGAGGGACGTGGCGGAACTGAAGAGGTTTCCGCAGTACTTTTCGTTTAGTTTGGAGGGGAAGATTAAGCCAAGGCACCGGTTGCTGGTGGAGCACGGCTTTTCACTGCCGCTGCGGGAGATGCTGAAGGTCAGTGATGGCGAGTTCAATGCCCGGCTGATTGAGATGCGGTTGGGATCCGCCGAGGGCAGCTGGGTGTAATATCGCAGCTTTCCGCAGTATGTTTTCTCAGCTGTCAAATGTAAAAACTGCGTTCGGTTGACAGGACCGAACGGGTAGGCCATCTTCAATCGACGGAGGCCAAAAGGTTTCCTTTCGCCCTATGGTTTTGGAATAAATTCTATTTTAATCAACAGTATTAGTCTATATTTTACATCATCTTCGAGCCAAATGACCATAAATCAAACATAATCATTTGACAAAAAATTATCTTCAACCGAAAGGGTCAAAGGACCATAGGCAAAACATAATTTATTATTTTAATTGAATTAATATGGATAATTAAATTCAACTACCATATTACAATAAGGTTTTCGGATATATTTTGAATGTCACTTGTCGCAAAATGGATAAATCTCCGGATTTCTTATCTTTATATAATCTCAATAATTTTTTGGATAAGATTTCGAGTGACACGTGTTGCTAACGTGAGTAACTCTCCAAATTTCTTATCTTTATGTAATCTCAATAATTTTTCACATAGGATTTCGAGTGTCGTTAAAGTGAGTAACTCTCCAGATTTCTTATCTTTATGTAATCTTAATAATTTTTCGAATAGGATTTCGTGTCACGTGTCGATATATAATTGGTTGTGCAAATTTTAGATAGGATTCTTATTTATGTGGCACTTCTTATCTTCAACTTCCAATGTTAATAAATTGGCTAGATATTAGGATAGAATTCACACACCTCCAAACATCTTCACTTGTTTGAAAATTACTCTGACACTATCTTTTGAGACCCATCTATAAGCCCTTCAAAGAGCTTCATTTTCTTTTCAGGTCCAAGTCCTTCATTTCATTGCAGATGTGGTCATTTGAAAATTATTGAAAAATTAAGGGAAAGATTATTGGAAGAGATTAGAGAATAGAATGTGAAGAATTGAAATAAAATGAGATAAGGTAGTATGGAATGGTAAAAAGTATGTGAGAAATGATGTAGGAATGACTTGGGTATTTATAGAAAAAAAATTAGAATTTTTTTTTTAAATCCGTCCAAAAAAAAATTTCAACTAGTAACCTAACGGCAGCATGACGTCAGCTAGTTATTGCTAGCTAGCGTCATGCTGACGCCATGTAGCCATTGGCATTCAAATGAGCTGAACTGGAGGGCTAGCAAAATGTCAAGCTTGACATTGACATTCTGGCATTGAAGGGTTAGCAAAATGTCAAGTTTGACATTCTGACGTTAGAGGGCTGGGCTATAGGGCTGACTGTTGTTGGCCAACCCTTTGGCCGGTTCTCCCATTTTTGGCCGGATGGGGACCATGAGCCCTTTGGCCTAGCCCTTGGTTAGAGATGATTTTCGTGTCAAAACAAGCTATTTTTAGCTTTATAACCCTTTGACCAGATTGGTTGAAGATGACCTTCCATTGAAGTTCGGTTTGGAGAACATATTTTTGTTTGTGCACACTGCTCAGTTAGTCATGATCCTGACCGAACTCTGCTTGTTTCGGCTTATCACCACCGAAAATTGATCAAACTTTCCGATCCTGATATGTCGGAACATTTTCTCGAAACCAAAATTTCTCCAAACGTACAACACAAGTAAATCTTGAAAATAATGGTTCCATATGGAGTAGAGTTTTGAGGGTTTTGGTTCTGGCGTGAGTGTTGGGTGAGATTAATTGTCCTTTATTGTCTTTTCAGACGAAAACATAACTGGAATTAAAATTTTCACTAATTTTTTGGGTGCCAAGAGTTAAATGGTGGTGTGGCTAGAAAATCTCTAATATCAGTTGCTTTCAATATGCAATTAATCCGTAGAATGTCTTGCGAAATCTGCAACAAAAAACAATCAAATGCTGCAAGAAAAACACATGAGACTTTCGTCTTTCAGAAAAAATAAAAGTTCACTGCTTGAATACAATCACGGAAAAGAAGAGTAAAATTTTACGACTCATATAAGACATTATGATTCTTTCTTATCAAAATTCCTTACCAATTTTCAGGTCTTAACTTTCCTCGTCCACTTAATGCTTCAGCGTATCAACAACACACGTTTTGAGACCAATTTGGATGCATACCATCGTTGTTAATGTCATCATTACAAGTTGAAAGGAAACTTGGAAGACGGGGAAGATATCATTACGTTGGTCTAGGTGAAACAATTGCTACGTGAATGATGCAATCAAGTTTTAGTCACAATAGTGTAATGGTTTAATAAATATTTGTCACGTGTTTAAAAGTGCACTACTCGTCCAATAAACGATCAGTCTCTTTTATTAGACATTTTTCCCACCAAACCAATCTTTATCCCATCACTTCTTCATTTTTTTGACCATTCATTAAGGATTTCGGCTCCTTGAAGCATCGCATATATGCTAATGCTGCTAAGATTATGTATAGACGACGATATGTGGGGCATAGAAAATAAACATTCATGTTGATTCAGTTAGTGAATGATTGGGTGGTAATTGAACCACAAGCAAAGCTAAGCAAAGCAACTTATAATATAATTTACTTAGTTATGGTTGATTAGTAATTAGAGACTTTAAGCAAATATATGTGGCTTCAAGACAACTCTTACTTATGCAGAATTGGTTAATTATAACTCAAGGAAAAGGAAAAAGACACTGCAGTTGGTGGCTTACCCTGGTGGATAGAATTTTTATATTTGATATACTGCATTTCAAGTTTAAACATTTCTCTTTTCTTTAGTATAGTACTATCGTTTGTACAAAAAAAAAAATGAGCATGAAAGTTATTTGAAAGAGAAATTATTATCGCACATTTTTTTTTCTCCTCTTACGTACTCACTATTTAATTCTAGTCATTGAATCAAATAAGTAAATAAAAATAACAGACAAAATTAAATAGAATAGAAAAAAAATGTGGTGATCGTTCACATTTGAAATCTTATAAGGGTCCACAAAACTTTCACAGTAAGCTTCAACTTTCTTCATGATAGCATAGTAGGTTGTCTCGTGTGTAAAGGTGAACACCACACGTGATCCACATCACCTGATTTGTGTTATCCACGTATTAGGCTTGAAATTTTGTCATAGTAAGGGGGCATGTTGAGAGCGAAACCCACGTTCGGAAAAGAAGGGACATGCATAGTCACATAAGTAATTGAGGTACTTCTTATAATGCTAATTGATTTTATACTAGAATCTTAACTTCTTCAGTTATGTGCCTTTTTGCAACCGAGATACTGTACACACAAAATGGTCTCCAAAAAGTTTGAGAACTAATGATTTGAATTAAGAAATCCGCACTGAGAAGACGTTAGGTTAAGCCTGATTTGTCCAGGTGGACAGTGGTTAGGCTTAATTAGGAAGAAAAATAAATATTTAAAAAGGAACAAAGCTGCGGATCATGAATTGGTGAAGAAGCAAACACATTAGTTGTCCCAATCGTGGAAAACAACTTGAATGATTTTCAGTCTCCAACACCAACACACCGGCCGGCCCAAGATTCTGAGGGCCCAGTTAGTTAGTTCCTCGTCAGGGTCAATTTTGAGGGCCCAAGCAAACTAGTGCAAAATTGAATTTAGTGTGTCGAGAACACGGTCTGATACACTAAGCGTCATATTACAGTTGATTGAAATGTTTTGTTTTTTAAATTGCTAACCAATTGTATTATTACACTTAATATATCAAGTTATGTTCTCAGTACATTGAAAATCTCTCAGTAATTAGGATCTTTGTATAAATTGAACACTTCTTCCTACCGTTAATGTGGTTTAGATTAGAATGATCAAATTAGCAAAGCTTAACATCTAAATCTCAAAATTCTCTTTGAAATAATTTACCCTAAAACTAAAAAGAAATACTTATTTGCAGACTTGGCAAAAAATTGTAGACTTATGAACAAGTTGACTAAAACAGTATGCTTCATGCTCTGTACGCGAATTTAAAATATCCTTTATCGTAGCTTATATGCATGTAATCATACCCATTCTTTTATGATTTAAGAAAATTATTATCACTCACTGTTTGATCTTAATCCAACAGTAAGTGATACTTTTTAACTTTGTCGTTGTACTTTCTCTTCCATCGTTAGATTAAAGACCGAACTATAGGTGACCAAAATAGTTTTGAACCATAGGATCTATGAATAATTGAACTCGTAATGTAATATACAAAATTCGAACATAGACAGGAAGCTTCGTACTAACATTAATCTCAGCGTGCATGCACGTGTATTATCACATATGTCAACTATCCGTGTCGATCACAATAAGAGAATTAGTGTTTCACATTAATTAGTTCACGCTTAATTTGAAAAAATTTGCTCATAATTTTGGCATATGAATTTTAACTTGTTTTTTGTTTTTAATTTCATACCATTCATCGAGGATTCAAATGACCTACAGATCGAATCATGTGTTGCGTATGTGGAGACACGACCCAAAAATTTAGATTTTATATTTACTCTCTCCACTGTGTTTCACATATATTGCGTATGCGTGACACTAAATTTTTTATACAATTTTGGAGATGTGTTTTTGTGTGGGTCATTTCGTAATATATTTCAACGATCGGAACGTTTCTATTTAGATCTTCTCCTAAATACCAGTTCTACTAAAAATCATGAAATTTGAAACCGTATAATTACGGGGAATAAGGATTTAAGGTTTCTTTGTAAAACCGTATTCGTCTATTTTTTTCACTACAAATGAATGTCTTAATGGTTTTGCATTTGTCTAATTACATTTTTGCACGTATAATTTATAAATGATGTTCTAAAAGATAGACAGTTTAGATCGTTAAACTATATTACGATATGAGTCCCACAAAACGTGTGCCAAAATTGTGTAAAAAAAGTAATGTTACATATCAGCCCTGTAGTTATATTATCCTATATATAATTAGTTTACTGTTTGAGCATGCATGTGAGTATGATTTATGAATGATGTTCTTAATCTAGTTTATCTTCTTCCTCATTTTTTAAGTAAGAATAATTACAAAGAAATTGATTAAATTTTATATAGTTGGTCCTAGCTAGTAGTAGATCAGCTCAACCTTTAACCGTTTGGTAACTGTCACCAGTACCAAGGAGCTATCACTAACAACTATATAAGGACATTGTTGGATTCATTCGTGGAAGCATCTCTTTATCATATTTCGAGACTAATTAAATTATACTAATTAATAAATAATAAGTTAATTAATCTCATTGAGTCAAAC